TTTACCTTTATCTTGTTGTGGTGCTCAAGTATTTCATAAATTCTGGATATAAGTCCCTTATCTGATATGTTATTACTGAATACTTTTTCCAAGTCAGTGACTTCCCTTTTTACCCTATTGGAGAAGTTTTTGGATGTGCATAGGGATTTGAGTCTTAGAAGATCCCATTCATCTATGTTATCTTCTCCTGGTTGTAGGTCCTTTCCTGATTTTTAACCACAGTATTTTCTTGCTCTGTCTTGAGGACTGCTTCCTGGGCCAAGTATAGGTTTTGCATGAGCACAATCAAGTGTTCTGGGGTTCCCATTTTCCTCAAGGTTAGCCACAGTTTGTTGTGATCCACACAGTCAAATGCCTTTGCATAGTCAATGACATGTAAATAGACATTCCTCTAGTACTCTTTGCTTTCTTCTAAGATCCATCTGACATTGATAATAATGTCTCTAGTGCCACGGCCTCCTCTAAATCCATCTTGTATTTCTGGCAGTTCTCTGTCAATGTACTGTTCCAGTCATTTTTAGAGAATCTTCAGCATATTTTGCTAGTGTGTGATATTAGTGATATTTTTCTGTGATTTCCACACTCTGTCGGGTCACCTTTTTTTGGAATGAGAATAAATATGGATCTTTTCCAGTCGGTTTGCCAGGTAGTCGTCCTCCAGATTTCTTGGTACAGCCCATTGAGCACATCTAGGGTGGTATCTGTTTGTTGGAATATATCAGTTGATATCTCACCAATTCCTAGGGCTTTATTTTTTGCCAAGTCCTTCAGAACAGTCTGTACTTCCTCTGTCATCCTTGTTGCCTCTTGATCGTATGTTCTTTCTTAAAATTCTTCTGTGTCAGCCAATTCATTTTGATACAGTGACTCAGTATACTTCTTCCATTCTTTTAATGCTTCCTAGATCATTCAGTATTCTGCCCACACTATCGTTAAGTATTGCAACTTGCAGCTTGAATTTGTTCTTTAGTTACATCAGCTTAAGAAATGCCAAGCACGTTTGGCCCTTTTGAGTTTACCGACTCTAGCTTCCTTGCACATTTTAATATAACACTTTGCTTTGTCTTTCTGATCTGCCCTTTGAAATTGTCTATTCAGTTCCTTAACATCTTAATTTTTTTTCCCCCTTTGCTTTGGCCTCTCAGTGCTGTAGTACAATATTCAGGGTCTCTTCTGACACCCATTTTGGTCTTTTCTTCTTCCTTTGTCTTTGTAATGATATTTTGCATTCTTCTTGAAATATAATATTATGAGTTATAGGAAAATATCCATACACATACAAGGAAGACCTGTTAATACCACTATCATTCAAATTTATGTACCAACCAGCAACCAGAGCCAAAGAGGAGGATATAGATGATTTCTACCAACTTTTGCAGTCAGAAATAGACCAAACATGCAACTAAGATGCATTAATCATAATTGATTACTGGAATTCAAAAGTTGGGTATCAGGAAAAAGGATCAGTAGTCAGAAAACATGGACTTGGTTATAGAAATGAGGCTGCAGATAGAATGATAGAATTCTGTACAATCAGTTATTAATTCATTGCAAATTCCTTTTACAAGAAACACAAACACAGGCTATACACATGGATTTCACCTGACGGTATGCACAGGAATCAGACTGTGTTCATCTGTGGAAGAAATTGTTGGAGAAGTTCAATATCAGCAGTTAAAACTATGCCAAGTGCTAATTGCAGAACAGACCATCAACTACTCATGTGCAAGTTCAAATTAAAGCTAAAGAAGGTCGCATCATAACCACAGGAATTAAAATTTCATCTTGAGTCTCTCCCCCCTGAATTTAAAAATCAATTCAGGAACAGGCTTGAAGCCTTGAATTCCCACAACTGTGTGTATACTAATTCCAACACCAGTTCTACTGGGTCCGAAATCTATTGCAGTAGCTGCACAGATCTCACACAATCATGCACATAATTATGGAGTTTACTAGGGAAATTAACAAGTTAAAGCTCAGGATTGCAATAGGTTGGCACAGGACAGCTTCCTCTGCCCATCTGGTTTTTATTCATATATTTTTAAAATTTTTTGTTATTATTATTATTCATTTTAATGATAATTTATGGATATTTTTTATTTCCTTTAATTTATTGTTGCACTTTTCTCCCTGCCCACCCCTCCCCTGCAGTTCATTCTTCTCTTTAAAAAATAAAAGAAAAATTTGTTCATTGTTATACAATCCCTCCCCACAAGTCCACTCCACTATGCAGCCTTCATTCTGGACTCATGTTGTAACAATAATATCTAATCACATATCCCTTTTAAACAGTTCTCTCCCTCATCTGTTTCAATGCAGTATACATAATTTATCCCCTCTTTCTCACTCTCACCCCCAACCCTGATGTCAGCCTCATTTTACAACAGTGGCATTACACAGTATATGTCCTTTTGTAACGGATATATTTCACTCAGCATAATGTCCTCCAGGGTCACCCATTTTGAATAATATTTCATGAGCTCCTTGTTTTTCAGTGCAGCATAGTATTCCATTGACTGTATATATCATAGCTTCTCTATCTATTAATTTGTTGATGGGTTCATTCATCTATTGATGCACATCTTCCTCTCTCCCACCTCCCTCTTCAGTTTGTAATGCATGTCTTGTTTCCCATTATTATTTAGGACAGCTTTTTAAGGTGCCTACAGGCTCTTCAGTGTTCAACCTTGCAGCTTGAGGTCAATGTTATAAAGTTGTCTTAGTACTGCCAATTATAGCATCTCCTCTCCCAGTTCTCCAGCAAATTTGGAGTCCTTTGGATCTGTGGGACGGTAGTCCTTGGCCAACTCTATGTCACATAATCCTCTGGTTCTCTGCTACAACTGCTGGTGATCTCCTGTAGGTTCCAGTCAAACTGGCACAGGAATCTCTGACTCTGACAGACTCGAGCTACATTCTCTGCTTCTTCTCCTTGCTGGTAGTGAGATTCCCCATTTCTGCTGCTCAGTCTGCTCAGTTTAAACCTGGAGGAATGGTGAAACTGGCCAGTCCCCTCCTGGATAAACTCACACACTCATGTGGCAAAGTTAAAGGGAAGCTATTTGAACAATAGGGCTACTACATCACACCCAGATAAAGAATTTGAGGAAAAGTTGTCCTGTCCATCTTGGAAGTCACCCACAACACATCAGTAGAAGATGAAGAAAAATGAAACAGAAAATGCAGAGTCAGTCAACAAAAGGTCTATCAATGAAGTTATCACTGTTGACCAATACCGGGATTTATTGAGTAATATTTTTTAACAGGGAGCACTCCAAACTGAGAATGAAAGAAGAGTTACACCACTATTTTAACGTTTAGATGAATAAGTAGTGTAGCTTTTGTTTTGATTGATTAATGGGTGTTACTGTTATGTGCCATTGAGTCACCTGTGACTCATAGCAAACTTACACTCAGTAGCTCTGAACCCTGCCCTGTCCTGAGTCAGTCTCACTGACTCCAACACACGTATTCCCATTACCCTAGTTACTGTGTCAATCCTTCTCATCTGGGGTCTTCTACTGTGCTATCCCTACACCCTTCCAAGCATGATGTCCTTCTCCAAGGATTTGTCCCTTCTGGCCATGTGCCCAAAGTATGGGAGATGGAGCTTCAAAATCCTAGCCTCCGAGGGGCAACATGTGCACGTATATCCAGTTGATAGGAGAAATACGTCAGGCAAAGAGTCATTGGAATTTGCAGTAAACAGCCAGAGGGCTGTTGCAGGTAAGTGTGGAGAGGATATTGGAACAATCTGTGCTACAGAGAGCTTCCTACATTTCCTTGGAAACAACATTTAGGCCGGTAGATGTTCCTCACATCATTAAACTTTGTTCCTTTACTTGTGATGCCCTATCCCAAAAAAGGAGGAGCCTTGGTAGCATAGTGGTTAAAAGTAGTAAGCTGCTAACTGAAAGGTGAGTGGTTCACACCTACAGCCTTCCGAAGGGAGAAAGATGAGGCAGACTACTTCCCTAACAATTAGAACGCTGGAAACATTATAAAGCTCTTCTACTTTGACCTGTTAGGTTACTCTGAGTCAGAACCTATGTACTGGCAATGTGTTTGGTTTTTAGTATTCCCAGAGGGAAAAACTATGATCCCAAAAGAGGAGAGTATGACTGTAAATGCCTCTTTTCTAGGTCCTGGAAGAAGATCCCGTGCTAACCGTGATCACCTACGTGGGGCTGAGTCTCTCTCTGCTGTGCCTCCTCCTGGCAGCTCTCACCTTCTTCCTGTGCAAAACCATCCAGAACACCAGCACCTCGCTCCACCTGCAGCTCTCACTCTGTCTATTCTTGGCCCACCTCCTCTTCCTCATTGGTATTGACCAAACTGATCCCAAGGTACTGACAGTATCTGTGCCGTGCCCCAAGAGAAAACAGGTTCATGAGGCCGAGCTAGGTTTGATACCTTGCTAAACTGACCTTAAGCCCCCAGGAAATTGGCAGGGAAGTAGGTTACTTGGAGCTCAGATAGGTACTACTTGTCTTGACTACTAACCCCTTTTACTTTTGATTTGTCTAATGTCATATGCTCAGTGCCAGAAGGTTCTTGAGCTTGAGTTCACCCCGACAGCACCTCCTGATTACTGTCCCTCCTCCCCAAGGTGTTGTGTGCCACCATTGCTGGTGCCTTACATTACCTCTATCTGGCCGCCTTCACCTGGATGCTGCTGGATGGTCTGCACCTCTTCCTCACTGCAAGAAACCTGGCAGTGGTCAACTATGCCAATGTGAGCAAACTCATGGGCAAGCTCATGTTCCCTGTGGGCTACGGGGTCCCAGCTGTGATCGTGGCGATATCTGCCGCGTCCAGACCACATCTCTATGGAACATCTGCCCGGTAATGTAAATCCCACTCCATGTGATGGACAGTTAGTATTTCTAGAAAGCTTTTGGGGGCTCTAGCTGATAGGAGAGGTTATTCCTTGGAGAGGGACATCACGCTTGGGAGGATGGAGGGATGGCAAAAGAGAGGAAGACTCTCAGCCGGGTGAATTGACACAGTGACTGCAGCAATAGGCTCGAGTGTGTCAGAGATTGTGAGAATGGCACGGGAGAGGACAGGGTTCATGTCTGCTGTTCATAGGGTCACTATGAGTCATACTCAACTCGTCAGTGCCTGCCAACAAATGGGCTAGTGGTTAAGGAGTTGTGCTGCCAACCCAGAGGCAAACAGTATGAATTCATCAGTTTCTCTAAGGGAGAAAGATGGGCCATCCCCTCCTGTTCAGCTTACAGCCTCTGAAAACTCTCTGGAGGGCCAGCTATGAGTTGATTCCAACTTGACAGAAATTAATTGAATTAAATGAGTTACTGTGGAGTTAATCATGATGATCAAATACACATGTAAAATTCACTCCGTGTTTTCTTTTCACATGGAGGCAGGTGAGGTGGTGGTAAGGGTTTGGGTTCTGAAAGGAGAGTGTTGTGGTTACATTCCAGCTTGGAGACCTTGATTCCTCAGCTTACTCATTTTTCAAACAGGGATAATAGTTATCTCCACTGTCCCAGTGCTGGACTGTATTCCTTTGCTAGAGTTGCTGCAATAAATACACAAAGTATGGGAAGCCAAACTTTATACCAAATATTATATGAAAACCCTTGTTCACGAATTGAAGGAATTAAAGATTTATAAGTTAGGATTTCTCTTGTGGCAGATCCTAGAAAATGAGCTGTTTGTTCCTTGCAAGACAGGAGACAGCAAGGGGCCCCCTACAGAGGGAGTGTTGCTTCCTGAGCTGGAGTTCACCCTGAGGCATCAAGGTTAATAGTTAAGGGTAGACCAAATTCTTGCATTTGTGAACCCCTCCTTCCTGAGTCAAGCAGAAGGTTTTCAATAGAAAGAGATTGGCTTCATTTGCATTGACTTCTCTTTGTGATTTACTTCCTGGTAATTTTCAATAAAGATACAGAGAAGCTCAGCTTGGGGTCTTCAGTCCAGAACTGCTGGCCCCCTGTTTTATGCTCTCTGCTCTATCTCATTCCTGGCTGTTTGTCTCAATATTAATAATTATAAAATTATTCCATTCTTTGGGACCCTCAGTCTGCACCAACAAAGTTATCAACTTCTAACAACAGAAATCTGCTTTCTCTGCGTTCTACATGGCTGTTGGTAGGGCTTTCTTAGAAGGCTCAAGAGGAAGATCTTTTCTCTTCCAGCTTTTATTGATTTCTGACCATACTTGGCATTTCTTTTTTTTTTTCTCTTTAAAAAATTTTCTTTTTCTCACATATATTCAATGGCACTTCTCTGAGAATGAAGTTATAAAAGGTTAAAATCATGAACAAAGGATGTTCCTGTTCTAGTAGAACGAAGCAAAACGGAGTGTCGAGAGTGAATCCAGGACAGCTTATTCCTGCCTACCAGATTGTATACTTCTCGTGTATTGTTATTGTTCAGTACCATCAAGTGGGCTATAGTCTCGAGATTCTGTGAACCACACGGTGGACCCTTGCCCCGTCCTGCTCATCCTAACAATGTCCTCCACGCAAGCCCATTGTTACAGTCACTGTGTCAACCCATCTCTTTGAGTATCTCCCTCTCTCTTTCCAAGCCTACAACTTTCCTAGCATGGTAATGTTGTTGTTTTTTTTCTTTTTTGTTTTGTTTTTTTATTTTTTTTTCCTAGCATGGTAATTTTTGTTTGTTTGTTTGTTTGTTTTTATTTTTTTTTTCCCTAGCATGGTAATGTTGTCTAAGGACTGGTCCCTGCTGACAACATGCCCTGAGTATGTAAGACAGAGTTTCACCATTTTTTTTTCTCTAAAGAGAATATTGGTTTCATTTCTTCCAGGAAAGATTTGTTTGTTCTTTTGGCAGTCCATGAGATATTCAGTACTTTTCACTAACACTACAATACAAAACTATTGATTCTTCTTTGGTCTTCCTTAGTCATTATCCAACTTTCAGGTGCATGCAAAGTAATTGAATGTATCCTGGCTTGGATCAGACACATATTAATCTTTAAAATTATGTCCTTGCTCTTTAGCACTTTTTTTAATTTTGATTTTAATTAAAGTTTACAAAGAAACTGGTTTTTCATTTATTTATTTATACACATTTTTCTTCCTACTCCTCTCCCAATTCAATTTGTAATGTGTGTCTTGTTCCATATGGTTAAATGAATCCTTGGCATTTCTTGACTTGTAGATGCATCCCTCAGATGCCAGCCTTCTTTATCACGTGGCCCATTTGTATAATTTCTTTTCTTTTATAAGGCTATCACTCATATTGCTTTAAGATCTACCTTCCTCCAGTATGCCTTTGTGGTTGTGGTTGTTGTTGTTGTTGTTGTTGTTGTTGTTGTTGTTGTTGTTAAGTGCCGTCAAGTCACAGGTGACTCATAGCGACCCTATGAAGGAGAGTCCTGGATGCTTGGGTGCCTTTCATCCTCTCTCCAGGTTCATAGGGTTTCCGGAGTTAAACTATTACGGAAGTGGATGCCACTCCTCCTTCCAAGCTTGTTTTCATCGGGAGCTCCACCCCACTCTCTGTCTGCATTGGGTAACCAGCCATTAATGCATTTGACACAACAGTGTCACAGTGTTCAGCCTCACAGCAACCACAAGTGACTGCTGTATGGCAACTTGTACACCGGGGCTACATGACCTAAAGGAATGTCTGAACAAAAACAATGAAAGACAGGCCCAAGGGCCGTGGATTAAAAGTCACCCACCTTTGGCTTGGTAGCATCGCTTTCTGTCCTTTGGGCCAGCTGATCTCTCTACGTTGATGTTATTGTTGTTAAGTGCCATCGAGTCGCAGGCAACTCATAGCGACCCTATGAAGGAGCGTTCTCAATGCTTGGGTGCCTTTTATCCTCTCTCCAGTGCCTTTGTGGTAACTGATAAAATCTTCAAAGACCTTATTTTCAAACAAGAGCACATTCATAAGCATAGGGGTTAGTAGAACTTCAGCATATCTTTTGAGGGATACAGTTCAGTCCTTAAAAAGGACTGTTCAGTGGAAGCAGAGGGATAAGGATGTGCAGGGGGAGAGGGTTTTTAATCATGGGGTTGTACCATTTGATGGGGGGGTGAGGGAAATTGGAAGAATCTGTTCTTAAAAACATGTATTCTAATTTTGTAAATAAACTAGTATAAAATTTTTTAAAAGGGCTATTCTTACAAAATTCTTGATATAATACTAATAAACATTGAGTGGTGCAAGCTTTCAACACAGGGAAATGAGCTGTTCTTTGTAATATTTCTCTGTTGGAGGCATGCTACTTTATGTTCATTTCATGAACTTTCTCTGATGTCTCCTATTTTACTTTTCTCATTTCTCCCAGATGCTGGCTACACCTGGACCAGGGATTCATCTGGGGTTTCCTTGGCCCTGTTTGTGCCATTATCTGTGTGAGTATGTAGTTCTCATGCTCCTTACAAAAAAAAAAGGTTCAAGATAATACCAGGGACATACAATTTCTCATGTGTGTGGCTTAATTTTTCACCTGCTACTAATTCACATTCCATTAAAGCTACAAATTCTGTTAGAAGTAGGACTGGCCATCCACTTCTGAAATGATGGGCCTTTAAAAACTCTACAGACAGTGAAAGAACATTGTTGGATGTAGTGCTGGGTGATGACCCCTCGGTTTGAAAAGCACTAAAAATGTGACAGGGCAGCATCGAAGTAGCATCTGCCACAAAGATGGGGGTGGACTAAAGCTTCCACTCAGTGCAGGCCCATCATTTGTTTATGTGGCAACCCTCAAAATTAGGAAAACAGCTGCAAACCTCCATCAATAATTGGAACATGGAATACACCAATTATCTGGGAAAACTGGAGGTTGTCAAAAGTTAAATGGAAAGCATAAAGATCAACATATTAAGCATTAAGGAGCTGAGATGGATTGGTATTGGCCATTTTGAATCACACAATCATGTTATCTGCTATGCCAGAAATTGCAGATTGAAAAGGAATGATGTAAAAAAAAAAAGAAAAGAAAAAGAAAAGGAATGATGTGACGGTCATCATCAAAAAGAGCACTTCAAGATCTATCCCAAAGTACACACAAGGAGGTCCTGTTACTACAACCATCATTCAAATATATGCACCAAGCATGAAAACCAAAGATGAAGAAATGAGGAACCACCTTTTGCATCTGAAATTGATCAAACATGCAATCAAAATGTGTTATTAACGATTGGTACCTGGAATGCAAAAGTTGGAGACAAAGCTCTGCTGTCAGAAAGTACTACTTGGTGACAGAAATGTGGCTGGAGATGACATGATAGAATTTTATATAATGATTTATTCATTGCAAATACTTAAAAAAAAAAACATAAAAGGTAACTCTATGCGTGGACTTCACCTGATGGCCTACACAGGAATAAAGTTGACTACAAATATGGAGAAAGGCGTTGGAGACATTCAATATCAGCTGTCAAAATCAGGCCAGGTGGTGTTGAAGGTCGCTATACCACTGCTCTTTATTCAACCACATCTAAACAGAATAAACTACTCCACAGGAGAAGGGTGGGCAAGCTCCTCCCATGCGATTAAACAGATTAAACTGGACCAAGTAGAAAAGAAGTTATAGAGATTAGCACAACTTCTAAAGGATCCCACAGTGGCTGTTGCTATTCTCAATCCTCACGTAAAGCTGTCTGTTGAGGTGAAAAGCCTAAATGACATCACAGCAAAAGAGAGGTTTACTCCACTCACATTCAACCTGATCAATGTCCCTGCTGAGAATGGTCACCTGAACAAGAGTCCAGGGGTCACTCTGCCTTTTCCACCATCATGGATGTCCACCATGGAGAAATTCCTTACACAATTACACAGCGTCTCCCCTAGACCACACCTCTCTCTCTCTCTGGATTAAAAACAGTCCTGAACAGCTTCCTATGTCAAGGCCAAGGGCTGGAATTGGAGGTTAAGACTGATCCATCAATTGTGGATGGAATGACCGTCCATATTGGAGAGAAATATGTCTGCAAAAGCCAAGATTGAGAAGCTGAACAGGGCTACATGGGTGGTTAAATGAAAATTTTGGTTTTCTGTAATCAGTGCTTAAACTTGGAGCACCAGTAAAATGTTGACCAGACCATTTGTAAAGTAGATGTGGGAAGCAAACAAAAAAACAGGCCAGGGGCTGACTGTGCAACAGACCATCACCTACACTTGTGCACAAAGAAAATGAAATCAAGTCCACGAAAACCAAAATATGCCTTTTAGTGTATTCTAACTGAATTTTAAAACTATCTTAAGAACAGCCTTGACACATTGAACATTCATGGCCAACAAAGACCAGACAAGTTGTGGGAGGACATCAAGAAAACATCCATGAAGAAAGCAAAAAGTCGTCACAAAGACAAGGAAGAAAGAAAAGTCCAAAATGAGTGTCTGTTGATTCTGAAACTTGCACAGGAATAAAAAAAGTCAAACCAAAGGGAAGGGGTGGGTGATGTGAAATATAGAAAGTTTTAGTTCCTGTTCTAGAGGAGTCAAGGTACATACTCTTTGTGTGTGTTTTTCCAGAAACTTTTTAACTGTTAATCCTCTAATAAACCGTTTATGAGCTTCAGAATTTAAAAAAAAAGGAGAGAAGAGCTGCTGTGGTAAGAGGGCAGAACAGGTTTCAAAGGGCAGCTCAAGAAGAAAAAGTAAAATATTACAATGAGGGGCTAGAGTTATAAAACCAAAAGGAAGGAATAAGCTTGACATTTCTCAAGCTCAAAGTATTGAAAAACAAATTCAAGCTTCAAGTTACAATACTGAAGGATTCTATGGGCAAACTCTTGAATGATGCATGAACCATTTAAAAGAAGATGGAAGGGATACATAGTGTCACTGTACCAAAAAGAATTGATTGGCATTGAAGCATTTCAGGAAATAACATATGATCAAGAACCATATGTACCTGGCAGGGAAGATACCATGATCATAAAGGTGGTTTTCCCAGGGCGAGGCTGGGATGTGCTGACCACTGCAATTTCCCCAAAGGTGGAAAACTCAACTGCATAATGTGTGGTAGTGGGGGACTGTGTTCCTGCTTTCCCCTAAAACAAAAAAAAAGAACCAATAGTAATGAAGGAAGACATCCAAGCTGCACTGAAGGCAGTGGTAAAAAGGACTGAGAATTGATACCAAAAGAAGGAAGTGTTTCAGGAAACAGATCCACCCCTGGATATGCTCACCAGTCTCTGCCAACAGTTACAGGAGAGAGCTACTTTGTCACCTGACTGGAAGAGATTCGTATTTGTTCCCATTCCCAAAACAGGTGATCCAACTGAATGTGGAAATTATCAAACAATATAAAACAATCACAAGCTCAACTTAAGAACAGTATGACAAAACAACTATGAGATATCATCTCACCCCAGTAAGATTAGCAAAATTTAACAGAACAGCAAACAACAAATCCTGGCGAGGTTGTGGAGCAATGGAATACTATGCTGCATTTAAAAACAAGGAACTCATGAAATATTATACAAAATGGGTGACCCTGGAGGACATTATGCAGAATGAAATATCTCAGTTCCAAAAGGACAAATACTGCATAATGCCACTGTTGTAAAGCAGGACTGACATCGGGTTTGGGGGAATCTAAGAAAAGATGGGATAAATATGTATACTGTATTGAAACAGATGAGGGAGAGAACTGTTTGAAAGGAATATATGATTAGGTATTTTCATGACAATGAGAAATGTATAGGGGAGTGTACTGGGCGTGGGGGGGTGTATAATAATGAAATTTTTGGTTTTGGTGGGTTTTTTTTTTTACTTTTCAAAGAGAAAAACCAACTAGGGTGAGGATTGGGCAGAGAGGAAAATGTGCAACAATGAATGAATAAATGGAAATCCAAAGTCTCTATAAACTTTCTTTAAAATTTCTATTTAAAAATCTATTAAAAAAAGAGCAGTATGGCATCAGAATTGGAGGAAGACTCATCAACCACTTTCATTGCCTGCAGAAAAGTGAATCACTTAGACTCATCCACAACCTGCATTATGCAAATAACACAACTTTGCTCAGTGAAACCAAGGAGGACTTGGAGAGTTTGCTGCAAAAGGACAAAGATTGCAGCCTTCAGTATGGATTGCATCTCAACATCAAGGGAAACAAAGATCCTAACCACTGGGCCAATAGGCAATATCATGGTGGATGAGGTTGTTGATGATTTCATCTTGCTTGGCTACACAATCAACAATCTTGGCTGACACCAGTAGTCAGGAAAGCAAAAACACAAGTTGCTTTTGGAAAACCTGCTGTTAAGGGAGAGTGCTAAAGAGCAGTGATTTCTAGATACTGAGGTGCACCGTATCCAGGCCATCATGGTCTTCTCAATTGCTTACCATGCATCTGAGAGCTATGACTAGTGATAACGGGAAAAGAATGACTATGTTTGAATTGTGGTGCTAGATAAAAGTATTGAAATATTGATTGCCAAGAGAACAAATAGATCTGCCCTGGAGAAGATGAAACCAATTTGCTCAGTGGAGGCAAGGATTTTGAAGTTCCGTCTCACAGAATTTGAGCATGTTGCCAGGAGGGATCAGTCCTTGGAGAAAGATATCATGCTTGAAAGGTTAGAAGTCAGTGCAGGAGAGGAAGACCCCAGATGAGATGATTGACACTGGGACTGTGGCAATGGGGTCAAGCGTGTCAGAGATGATGAAGTTGGCTCATGGTAGGGCGAGGTTCAGAGCAAGTTTCATAGGGTTGCTATGGGCCCATGGTCAACCTGACAACACATAACAACAACTGCAGATCAAAGACTACAGCTTTCAATATGGGTTACTACTAAACATCAGAGAAACAAAAATCCTCACCTTTGGACCAATAGGCAACAATAAGTTGAAGAAAATAGTGGGAGAAAATACTGAAGATTGATCAACAATTTCATTTTACTTGTATCTAGCAGCAGTCAAGTAATCAAAAGATACCTTGCATTGGGGAAATCTGCTGTCAAGGACCTCCATGAAATTTTAAAGAGCAAGGATGTCAGTTTAAAGACTAAGGTGGACCTGATAGTTTCAGTCACTTCCTATGCCTCTGAATGTTTTACACTGGTTAAGGATGACAGAATATTTGATGTCTTTCATTTGTGGTGTTGTCTCCGTGAACTCAATGAACTAGGATAGAACAGAAGCTTTAAACACAATAGTAGCCAATTATCTGGGATGTCACATGAAACCATAACTTTAAACCTCCAGACCAAGAACGCAAAATCCAGGAGGTGCTTGGTTGTACCTAAGCAGCTCCAGTTACTACTCCTTTTTTGTCAAGAATATCTATCAAACTACTTTGGCTAATTTATAATGGTACATGTCTTAACTTGCATTCTGTATCTGTGTTTTATTCCTGCAGGTAAATTTCATGTTTTTTTTCTTGGTCCTTTTTATTTTGCAAAGGAAACTTTCCTCCCTCAACAGTGAAGTGTCCACCATCCAGAACACAAGGTAAGATGAAATAAATGCTACATGTGACCCCTTTCTGCTCACCCCAGCACACCTCCCTCCTACTTTTCCATAATGCACATACACCCTACAGTCAAGCTTTGGGACTTACAAAGCACGGTAATCTCCCACTCTTAGAACTAATAAGAGCTTGTACAAACTAGAGTACAGGCTAAACAGCTATGATGCAAAGAAGCAGGAGCTGTCGTCACGCTCATGTCACAGGCCAGCGGTGAACAGTCCAGGGCTGATGTGGAAGCTCCACAGCGTGAGGCAGAGACTCGGGATTTTCTGTTGCTCCACCTGTAGGGTGTTGTCTTACCCCGTCCATGGCAGGAGAATGGCATGGAAGTTGCCTGGTTTACATCCCACTGGCTACGTTTGGTCACATGACCATCTCTAACTGCAAAGAAACCCTAAAAAACTTAGTTGCTGACCCTCCTGTGAGTTTTCAGAGGCTATAAGTCACACAGGAGGAGATGGCCTGTCTTTCTCCTGCTGAATCACTGTTGGATTCAAACCTCAGAGAAGCACCACAGCTCCCTACAGACCAAGCCACCAGAGCCCTCCTAATTGAAGAAAAGCTAGGAAATGTAGTCTGCATTATGCAGATAACACAACCCTGCTTGCTGAAACTGACTGCAGACGTCAATATAGATTGAGGCTCAATATTAAGAAGACAAAGATTCTCACCACTGGGCCAATTGGCAACATCAGGATGGATGGTGAAGAGATTGAGACTGTTAACAATTTAACAACTTTAGTCTGCTTGGCTCCACAGTCAACACTCTTGGCACCAGCATCCAGGAAATTAAAAGACATTTGCAATGGGAAAGTCTGCTGTTAGGGACTTCTCCAAAGTACTGAAGAGCAATGGTGTTACTCTGGAGACTAAGGTGTGCCTGATACAGGTGATGGCTTTGCAATCACTTGCTATGCATCAGAGAGCAGGACAATGACTAGGGAGGATAAAAGGAGAATTTATGCCTTTGAGCTGTGGTGTTGGATAAGAATATTGAATGTACCATGGATTGCTAAGAAAACAAACAGGTTCATCTTGTTGTTGTTGTTGTTGTTGTTGTTGTTGTTTGATGCCATCGAGTCGTAGATGACTCATAGCGACCCTATGAATGAACAGCCTGAGCACTAGGTTCATCCTAGAGATAGTTAAATCAGGCTGCTCCTTGGAGGCAAGGATTCTGAAGCTTCGTCTGACATACTTTGGACATGTTGCAAGGAAGGGCCAGTCCTTGGAGAAAGACTTCCTGCTTGGGAGGGTAGAGCGACAGCACAGGAGGGGAAGACCCTCTATGAGGTGGATTGATTCAGTGACTGGGGTGATCCTGGTAGGTGTATCAGAGACAGTGAGATTGGCACAGGATAGAGCAAGGTTTAGGACTTTTGTACATAGGGTTGCTGTGAGTCTCCGGTGATTCAACAGCACATAACAGCAGCAACTGCTAGGTAGCTAAATGCTTTGATAATACTCAAAGGGAGAAGAGACTTAACACACACACACACACACACACACACACACACACACACACACACACAAAAGACACAATGACAAAACCAGCCATTTCTGTCACTGGCCCAGATCATGTACAGGAGCACTCTCTCTTTGTCAGACAGCTAACTCACTCAAACTTCTTAAGCATCAGTTACTGATTAAATTCTATATAAATCCTAAGAATTGACTTGCTGAAAAATAGTCCAAGTTGATTAATTGTATCAAGGTTGGTTGGTTGGTTGGTTGGTTTGGGTTTGGGGGGGTGTATACACCCTCAAATCAGATCTGAGTGGTACAGGAGGAGATTGTCCCTCCTTCTCCAGCAGAGCATCTGGTGGATTCATCGCACACCTCTGAAATTGCAGTGCAGCTTCTTGCCACTAGGCCACCAGAGCTCCCTTAATTGTATTGAGTTTTAAAAATAACAATGAAAGAATTTTACTTTTCAAAGAGAAGAGTGAGCTGGGAGGGAAAGGTGGGCAGGGAGAAAAGTGCAACAATGAATGAATGGAAATCCAAAGTCTCAGTAAATTTTCATTACAATTAATAATAATAATAAATTGTCTGTAGTACAGTGTGGATGAATGTACAACAAATTATGCTGAATGACATAAATCCATCACAGATGACTATTGTAACACAAGGAAGGTCACGATTATAAAAGCAGGGAGCTCTGGTGGCCGAGTGGCAAGAAGCTGTGCTGCAATCCCGAAGGCATGCAGTTCTAGTCCACCAGCTCCTCCACGAGAAGCTAGGCGGTCTACTCCCTTGTGATAAACAGCCTTTGAAAACCCACAGGAGGGTCAGCTGTGGATTCGTTCCCACTCTTCAGCACACAATATCATAAAAGCGAGGGCACTCTAGGGGTTTAGTGGTAACGAGTTGCACTGCCAACTGACAAGGCTCACAGTTGGAATCCACCAGTCTCTCCGTGGGAGAAAGATGGGAAATCTCTTCTCACGTGATTGTGTTGTTTGTTTGGTGCTGGCGAGTCTTAGATGACTCATAGTGAGACTCACAGCCACCCTGTGAACGAACAGCCTGAGCACTGTTTGTACATAGAGTTTCCAGAGGCAAGCCATTTCGGAAGTGGATGCCGCTCCTGCTTCGAGGCTTGTTTTAATCGGGAAGCTCCAGCCAACACTGTCCACCATGGGTGCCCATTACCACAATTGGCACATCACTGTCACAGGCTTCAGCATCACAGCAACCACGAGTTACCTCTGTACAGCAACACACAGACGAGTGCTATACCACCTAGAAGAACGTTTGACAGGAAAACAATTTGAACCTGGCCGAGGGCCGCAGATGAAAATCACCCACCTTCGGCTTGGTTCTCATGTGATCACCACCTCTAAAAACCCACTGGAGGTCAGCTATGGGCCGTTTCTGACTCAGCGTTACACAACAACAATTATAATAGCTAGGGAAAGGTTCATACACAGATAGTATCATTCTCGGATAGTTACCAGGAGTCAGAAGGGAGGAGGTGGGGGGTAAAAATTAAGAAATAAATTAAGTCAAAGGAAAGGCAATAGGCAATAATGAGTTGACTAGATCTTGTACCTATAATATTAGTAAGTTATCATTAATGTTATAAAACAAAATAGATATGAATGATTAAGTGAAAATCCAATATGACTTGTAAGCTTTCACTCAAATAAAATGAAGACAGTGTATCTACAATTGTATGTAATGGGATCAAGAGGACTTAGCTGAAAATATGATCTTATATTTTTATTATATATTGTTGTTATTGTTATTGTGTTATCTAAATCCTTCCCCAATATGTTGACACTATTAGTATTATTTTTGCTTTTTTTACTTAACAATATCCTTGTTGTGTTGCTATTTTAATCATAAAAATAAGGCATGCTTCCTAATTTTTTAATTTCTCTAAATATATAAAGTAAAAAATGGAAAATTCCGAACTCCTTGTTTCCTGGCTACTCCCATATCCCAAGGAAATCACAGTTAACAGACGATATGCTATGATGCTGCGATGTGATGCCTTCATCTATGCATTTGCCACAGAGTAGACACAGGCATATTTACAGTAGGATCTCACTATATAAATTGTCCTATAACTAATTTCTGTAATTTATGTTATATTCATTAATTAGGGATCTGTATACCAGTTTGCTTCTTGGAGGCAAGGATTTTGAAGCTTTGTCTCTCATACTTTGGGCGTGTCTCCAGAAGTTACCAGTCCTCAGAAAAAGACTTGCAAAGGTAGAGGGTCAGCACAGGAGAGAAAGACCCTGGATGAGATGGATTGACACAGTAACTGTGGCAAGGAGTCAGATGTGTCAGGGACGGTGAAGTTGACTCAGGATTGGGCAAGAGTCAGAGCCATTGTTCATAGGGTCACTATCTGTAGTAATCTACTCAAGCATGACGAAAACAACATACTATAAATTTGGTGGCCATATTTTACTGCGTAGCAAATAATTTTTTTAATTGGGTGAACTTTTAATTTTTTTTACAAATACATTGCAGAACCAGGCAGTGCTGCCAGCGCTGGATGCAATCCTGGTCCCCAAATCTGCACACTCCTTTGTAACTGGTCTAGAGATGGCAGAACCTTCCATCTGGCTTTTACTGTTTACTGTCCCTGCTGCGCTCTCTCCAAAATCAAGAAACACCCCACCTTTTCTCCAGTATGACTTCAGTCATTTTACCACTGCTGGATGTACCTTCCTTCCAAGCTCTGGTTTCCCTCTCTTTTTTTTTCATTATTATTATTAAATTTTATTAGTTTTAATGAACATTTA